GGGCAAAAGGGATCATAGCGATCTAAGTGTCATATATAAATTAAGAACAGTATGATAATAGTTTAACAAATTGTAGTTATCTCAAGTAATTAAGAGACAAATATCGCAATTAAATAAACGAGTAAATTTAAAAATTCATTTGAAAAATAACGTACGAGGTATAACGTTCGGGATAAAATGTTCTTCAGAATACTGAAAACCCTTGTGTTTCTCTGTGTTTTATTCATCTTTGGGTTCATTTTACACAAAACTAGTTGCCCGAATGTTGTGAAAGTAAACGACCGCCATATTTACAAAAATGTGATACACTGAAGTTTTACTTTCATTGCACTTAGAAGGTAGGTTAGAATTTTCATTATTGTGACAAAGGAAAATATATTAGTTCTTAATTTGTATGCAGGAAGGTTGTTTACGCTGCACAACAACATAATACATGTAATGTTTCATGCAACATTTGTGTATTTTGTCAACATATTTTGTCTCGTTCGTTACATGATTTTGTCCCGTATGTTACTATATTGTTATGGCTTCTGTAAAACAGATTTGATATTAGTTTATAATCTTAAAAATACTTTTCAGCAGTTACAAACGAAGTCAATTGCTACATCTTTTGAAATAAAACACGATTTTAGCAATAACTCGTCCGTAAGGATAGACACTTATATTGAAAAATATGCAAAACAGTTTAAAATCATACGATTCTCCTAGGTTTACTATATTTTATATTTTTTCTATGATAATCAAATGTAAAAAAGATTGTGATGGAAACATCCATTTACATATACATAATCCTTTAATTCTTATGTGTTAAATGACAATAGAAAATGTTAATATACATGATCTGCCATAATATTAAGTCGTCCCGTACGTTATGAAGTGATTGTCCCGTGCATTACTTTTATGAGAGGTAGTTTTGTAGACTGATTTTTTTTTATGTGCGTTTCAGGATGGCAAAATCTAAAGCACAAAGGATGCGGGAGTACAGGGAAAGAAAGAAAGCGCTTCCAGGTGGACAGTGGTTGAAAGCAGAAAGAGAAAGAGTCAAGAGGTCTCGAATACCTATCTCTGAAATGAATTCAAAGAATAGGGAGCATGTGAGAAAGTTAAATAGAATCAGACAGGCACGATTCAGGGGAAAGATGAGAAATAGCAAAGGAGAAATACAATATCATAATGAAAATGAAGAATCCGATGAGCACGTGCCTCCAACGAGTGAAAATGTTGTGTGAAGTACAAGCGATATGGCCCTTACTGTAAAGCTGCCTTTCCCATCAACAAGTTCTAGAAAACACAAGAAAAGAGTTTCAAGAGCATTAGCTAGATCATATCGCAGGATAGAAACTCTTGAAGACAAAAATGAAGAATTAAAGAAGAAATTGAAAACTGCTCAGAAAAGACTCCAGCGCTATACAGCTAAGAAAGAAGCCACGACACCGAGGAGTAAAAGTAATAAGTTATTGAAAGAGTACGGGTTGAAAGCAAACGATGTGCCTGAAATAAAAAAAGAGGTTGGTCTTTGGTGAATGTTTAAGTCGCGAAATAAAACAGGCCAAAGTAGACAATAGACAGAATTTGAAAGATATTGTGCACATAATAGCATCCGGAAAGATCATTAAGAAATACAGAATGAAAGCTCAGCTAGAAAAATCTACTAGCCTTGATAGGGGGAAGTCAAGTACCACGAAAAACATAGCAGTGAAGAAAAGATCAAGAATGAGTGAATATAAAATGCGTGCCACAGAAAACATAGTCTCATTTCTAGAGCGAGATGACAATTCCAGAATGTTACCTGGAAAGAAAGACAGTACAAAAGTTGAAAGTAGCAAGGTTAAAATTAAGAAAAGAGTACTGAATGACTACATGTACTCGTATAACTTGCATCTGAAATTTGTTGCTGAATATGGATTCAGAGTAGCAAAAACATTCTTCTATAACGCCAGACCAAAGCACATATCGTTAGTGAATTTTGCATCGAGGAGTGTTTGTCTTTGCTCGAAACATAAGAACTTTTGTTTTCTGATTCGTGCTCTCAAATGTCTCAATGTGAATAGTTGTACAAACCCAGACAAGTTTGTTGAAATGTACAGCCAGAAACCTGATTTGTTAAACAAGATGTTGCAGACAATTCCAGACAACGAAGATGTGAATTACCAACAGTGGAAGCGAGTAAAACTTAAGAACGGAAAAGAAAGGCAAAGAGTTGTTGAAGTTAGTTTGTCAAAGGGCGACTTCATTGAAAGGATGACTGAGGCATTCAAAGAATTTGAATCACATATTCATCGAGTAAAAGAGCAATACAATGCAATCAAAGTTATGAAAGATAAATTGCCTGATAATCATGTTCTCATCCAAATGGATTTCAGTGAGAATTATACATGTAATACTCTCGAGGAGATTTAATCAGCTTACTGGAATAGCTCAATGGTAACCTTGCACCCAGCGGTCATTTACTTTAGAGGAGGAGGTAGTGAATTGAAACATGAAAGCTACGTTTATGTCTCAGAGGTTCTCCGTCATAATGCGTCAATGGTAATATCCATAATCGACAAGCTGATGAAGGTCGTAAAATCTTTGGTACCTGATTTAGAATGTGTCCATTTTTGGACAGACTCACCCTCCTCCCAATATAGAAATAAAACAATATTTGATATGGTGAGCAGGTTTCCAAAGCTCTATGGTACCTTTGCTTCATGGCAATACTTTGAAAGTGGGCTGGCAAGGGACCCTGTGATGGTATTGGAGGGACAACGAAGAGAAATGCGGACAATGCTGTAAAGCAGGGTAAAATTATACAGGATGCATCCGACTTTTATTCATGGGCTACATTGAACAAGAAAGGTATTAAATATGAACTGGTAACAGAGGAAGAGTATGAAACAAAGAAAGAGACAATTGAAAAGAGAAACAATGAAATACAATCAGTAAAAGGTTCAATGATGTTTCATTCTGTCGTGGGTACTGAAGATGGACAAATTGCTGTTACAAACACAACGTGTGTGTGTAATAATTGCTTTATAGCCAAATTTAATGTACATTCTAAATGTGGTTGGGAAGTTAAGGCTATTACAACTAGGTCAGTAAAGCAAGATGACAGATGTTCAAAGACAAAAGAAGTTCAAGAAGATTCTAGAATAAATGAGATACAAACAATAAAAGATAAAAATCATGATAAAAATGAGACACCAAATGTCTCAGACACAAATGAAACAAGTACTTTGCCTGAATGTCTGGAAGTTTCAGTTGGAGACTTTGTTGTTGTGCAATATGAAGATGACCGGTTGTGTGGCAAAATAATTGAAATCAACGACAACGGCAAATCAGGTCGTGTAAGCTTCATGCAACAATGTGAAAAGGTTAAAGGAAAATTTAAGTGGCCATTAAGTGACGACGTTGACGATATAGAGTATGATGAGATCTTGCGTGTGGTAGAGGAGCCAGTACCAACTAGCAAGACTGGTCGAATGTTTACTTTCCCAGACTATGTACTTAACATGTTAGAAAATTAATAAGATCAGTTTTCTGAACATTAAAACTTAGCCAGACAAATACATCGTGAAATTATAACATACGGGACAATGTCATGGTTGTAACGTTTCTGTCAGGCAAATATATGTAATTGCCCATGTTTAAAGTTTCTGTTTCTTCATAAGTTGTTTTGCAATGATTATTTCATTATTTTCTTAATTCAACGGCTGAAATACAGTATAGTTATACTTTTGTTTGTGACAGCAGTTTTGTTAAACGTACGGGACAAAAATGAAAATGTTTGAAAATGTCTAAATTTTTGTTTTTTGTTACTGTTTAGCAAACAGTATGTTTAAAAGTGTTGTTTATCAAAAGTTTGGTGAAAGAAGTTCATGTTCTCTTGTTATGTTTAATATATACCATGTGTATAAAATAAAATATCATACTTTATTACATGAGAATGTTTAAAAATTGTGTACACAAGTTTGTTTATTGTCAATGATACTGTTTTTTTTTGTCTTATCGAAAAGGTAAGCATTAGATAAGATCATGGAAGACTGACCTTCAAATGTTTTATTAGACAAAATGATTATTTGAAACAGTCATTTGAGTAAGTAACATACGGGACAATTATATGTAATGTACGGGACATTTTAATTTCTGTATGATACAATATTGTAGTGAAACTCAATGACTAAGTCTTTTTAATTTTCACAAGAAATGTATTCTTACTTTGGGTTACCATGATTGCTTTACAATTCAGTGTTTTTGATTTTGCTTGATATTAAGTTGAACAGTTGTATGTTTTAGGAAAAATAAAAAACAAAGAAGTGTTTCCATCTATTGTCTTTAATTTTAACTTCAAATGGACAAATTCACAAAAACTAACAAAATATCCAACATTTACATACTAATGCCAATATGTTGGCATTAAATTTAGATATATTTGCGTCAAAAATACGTTCAAACAAACCATCAAGTAAAGCCCATACACTTTTTTCAAGAATTTAATTTTAACACACCCTATGTTTACATCGAAAGCCATACGTAATAAACTATGAATGTCCAAATGAAAAAAACTTTTGAAACATGTAATATACATATAAAGATGCGAAACAGAACCATAAAATGTGAATTTTCATACATTTAAAAAAATCTAAATCTTAGAGCTCAAATGTCGCACTTTATTGGGAATGAGCCAATACGTGTATTCCGCAAATTTCTCTCGTGCGCACAACGCGCAACGTATAAACATGTATATAGTGATGTTACAATTTGGAATTAGATACGCGTTAAATAGATAAAAAAGCGTGCATATTTAGACGTCTTAACCTCTTCTCGGTGACGTCATTTTTCTGCGCTATGTTGGTTTTCTCATGGGCGACCTAGATTATAATGGTTTCAATCAACCCCAAAAAAGCCTATTATGCAAAGCTGTCCTCAAAAGGTCCAAAAAAGGTCATGGTTCATAATACTACTAAAGAATAATATAATAAATATTTTGGGAATTACAAACAACAAACACATGTATTTACCTGTAAGACTATCAGTCCTTTTGTTCTATTCTGTCCCGTTCCTTGTAGAACACCGGGGCAATCTCCTTTCGCATTTTCAGATTTGAAAGTAATGTCCGTCCTTGTCTGTAAACAGAATAAATTTTTCTAAGGGCATAATGGCACAAAATAGTTTTCATTTTTTTCAGATATTCTACCGGTAGGTTATTAATCTTGACAATAATCTTTATTTATCTTTATGTCACGGTTCAAAACTGTTCACTATTTAGGGGAGAAGATGTGTAGCCGGATAGCTCAGTCGGTAGAGCCGCGGTACGGAATTTCGAAGGTCCCGGGCTGCCACATTTTTCTCACCATGTGACATTTGGCGCCCAACGTGGGGCCGTGACTGCTTATAGCTCAGAGTTTAATTAGCATTTCCTTTGTAGCATTATGAAAATCAAGGACGAATTTCAATATTGCGGAGGAAGCCTGTCACGGTTCAGAGCTGTTCACTTTTTTGTGGATAAGATGTGTAAGCGGCCGGATAGCTCATTCGGAAGAGCCACGGAACGGTATTCCGAGGGCCAGGGTTCAAGTCCCTGTCAGGCTGCTTACACATTTTCCCACCCTGTGACATTTACCTCAGTGATGGAATTTGTTTGTTTGTTTGTTTTGATTGGGTTTTACGTCACATCGACACTGTATAGGTCATATCGCGACGTTCCAGCTTTACTGGTTGAAGAAGACCTCAGGTGCCCTTCCGTGCATGATTTCAGGCATGAACGGGCATCTGAGTAGAACCACCGACGTTCCGTAAGCTAGCTGGATAGCTTCCTCACATGAAGGAATCCAAAGTCCCTGTCGGGATTCGAACCCACAGCGGTGAGGGGCAAGTGGGTTGAAGTCAACGACCTTGACCACTCGGCCACGGACGCCCTCGGTGATGGAATAATGGCAGACGATAATGTTCATTCATCTAGTCTGCAATGGGAGACATACAATGAGCAATGAGTAAATGACAGAAAACAATGTTTCTTTTTCTTCTAATTGGACACTCGGATAATGATACTGTTAACACTATTTTTTATCCAGTGAGCAAGATAGCGGCAGAAAAATCCGTAATCAAAATAGGCATATTCATTTATTTTATACCAAATGAATTGAAAGATAGTTACAGAAAAATATGTTTATTGCAACAATTTGTTTATTGATAACAATCCGCATTTTATTCTGTTTTGAGATTATGAACGGATAATGATCCTATTTCGATCTATTCAATTTTTTAAGTGGGCAATTGGATAATAGCAGAAAATTGTTATTATCATTTTACCCCCAATTGTAAGATGGAAATTCACTGAGAAAAAATACCTCTTAATCTCTTTTGTTCAAAATGTGTTATATTACTTTAATATATAGTGCCTGGGACATAAATGTTTCAGATAGAACTTTAACCTTTCATCGCATTCACATTCATGTACCAATTCCTTTAATTTGTTCTCTTTATTAACTTTGGGGAATGCCTGCATGTTTAAAATACATAGACCTAAGGTCATTGAAATTACAATTAGAGTCAGTCATTTAGTAAATTTATGTTGTTGTTGTTTTTGATCCACATAAAAATTGAATCAAAACAAAATTATGGCTTAAACAAAAAGTTAATATGTTAGCGGTTATTGAAAATAAACAAAGGCTTAGCATGCTTAGTAGAGATGTACAGACTCAATCAAACCGAGTCTGCAATTCTTATTTTTTTTGTTGTGTAAATGCTTCCGAGGGATCACTTTGTTTCCGGAATTTTTTAGCAAGGAGTGACGTACGTGCTGCCCCTATCCACCCCCCACCCCCACAGTGTATGTTATCGAGCATATTTCAAGGCACACGGGAACCTTTAAGTACTTCCATGGACGGCAATAACCCATCAACGACAGCGATTTTAGTAAATTGCATCGAACCCAACTCAATTACACGTTGTAATGGATTTGCAATATAATTTGATGTCATTCTGGATTAGTTGCTTGGCGTCAGAGACAGACCTTTGGGGGGTGTAAATTAGGTCTTGATCTCGGGACCTTATGCTGGATAGAGAAAAGGAAATGTAAATTCTTAAAAAAAATAACATTTAATCCATTTCTAATTAATTCTAAATGTTGTTCATACACCGCCTCCGTGGTGGAGGGGTTAGAGTCGATGACTTCTAATCCAGTTACCTCTCTGGCGTGGGTTCGACCCCGGGAGATGCTTTGGTAGTTTAGCGCGGAGGAATGTAGTCTAGTACTGGTGTAACTCTCAAGGAACGATGGTTAGGAAACTATCCATGTATATGATTGAAATACTGTTGGAAAAAGGCGTAAAATGAAACAAACAAACAAACAAAATGTTGTACATACATGAGTGTACAAACTTACAAAGTAGCAATAATACAACTATTGGTGGTCCGATACCTAATACGGAATGGAAGCGGTTATAGTTATCTCCCATCAATTTTCGTAAAAGTAATATTACTGGCTTAAATTAAGAGGTTTCCACACAAGAAGAATGTTTGTTATAATAGTTCTGTTAAAAGGCCAGCATCCAAATAAACTGTCAACACTTAAACTCTTACCATTTTCTATTAATCACTGAAATACCAGCTATCGGTCTCCACAAAAACACGTTAATAAAGGCTGCACACAACTAAATTAAATGGCAATATGGCTGGGGTCACTTGAACCGTTCTTTATAATTAGGATATTAAGCTAGATAATTAAAATAATACAATTTAGGGTTCATAAATATCTAAATTGTAGTTAAAACAATTAATGGCTGATGTCGCAAACTCGCAAGAAGATTGTAGTTAGGTTATACATGCACGGATCCAGGGGAGATTTATAGGGGGTAATATGGAACCCCTTTGAGATATTGGAATGAACTTACGTCTCTTTTTAGCAAAAGTCACGTTAAAACTATTAATAATTAGTAAAATCACATGGTAAATGTCAAACCCCATTTGTAATATGCAAATATGGGGACGGTATACTTTGCAGACGACTTTGCAGACAAGTTAAACATAGAGGGATTTTGCAGACAAGTTAAATAAAGAAGGATTTTAGATTTTGCAGACAATATAGATTATATAGGGGGTGTTTAATCCCTTGTCAAAAAGGTGTGAATGGGCAATTATATTGATTTAATGCCATCTAGAAAGATTTATAGGCCTAAATATTTGCAAAATTTATTTATTATTTGAAAAATAGTTTTAATGATGTATTTTTTTAGAATAATTTATGCTTTTATAAAAAAAAATATAAGAATATAATTAAAAAAAACACTAAGTAATTGCATGAAACAGAATATAATGATTATAACAAACAAACAGTATTAATTAACTTTTTTAAATTAATACATAAAGTAATAAATAAAATGATGGGGGAATAATAGAATAGTCTGTATTTTACAGACAGAAATAATGTTGAATTTTGCAGACAAGTTAAAATAAGAAGGTTTTTGCAGACAAGTTAGATATAGAACAGAATATAAAATGAAAGAGGAATTAACTCTTATAAGTTCTAATACATATAATATCATAGGTGAAAATAAGGAATATCTATATTTTGCAGACAGAATCCTTCTTATTTTAACTTGTCTGCAAAATTCAACATTAATTCTGTCTTCAAAATACAGATTTTCCTAATATTCCTCTTTCATTTTATATTCTGTTCTATATCTAACTTGTCTGCAAAATCCTTCTTATTTTAACTTGTCTGCAAAATTCAACATTAATTCTGTCTGCAAAGTGCAGACTATTCTAATATTCCTCCAGCATTTTATATTCTGTTATATATCTAACTTGTCTGCAAAATCCTTCTTATTTTAACTTGTCTGCAAATTCAACATTAATTCTGTCTGTAAAATACTGATTTTCCTTATGCTCCCCCATCATTTTATATTCTGTTCTATATCTAACTTGTCTGCAAAATCCTTCTTATTTTAACTTGTCTGCAAAATTCAACATTAATTCTGTCTGTAAAATACAGACTATTCTAATATTCCCCCATCATTTTATATTTTGTTCTATATCTAACTTGTCTGCAAAATTCTTCTTATTTTAACTGTCTGCAAAATACAGATTTTCCTAATATTCCTCTTTCATTTTATATTTTGTTCTATATCTAACTTGTCTGCAAAATCCTTCTTATTTTAACCACGGATTTATATTACATGTAATATAAATCCGTGTTTTAACTTGTCTGCAAAATTCAACATTAATTCTGTCTGTAAAATACAGACTATTCAAATATTCCCCCATCATTTTATATTCTGTTCTATATCTAACTTGTCTGCAAAATCCTTCTTATTTTAACTTGTCTGCAAAATTCAACATTAATTCTGTCTGTAAAATACAGACTATTCTAATATTCCCCCATCATTTTATATTTTGTTCTATATCTAACTTGTCTGCAAAATCCTTCTTATTTTAACTTGTCTGCAAAATTCAACATTAATTCTGTCTGCAAAATACAGATTTTCCTAATATTCCCCTGTCATTTTATATTTTGTTCTATATCTAACTTGTCTGCAAAATCCTTCTTATTTTAACTTGTCTGCAAAATTCAACATTTATTCCGTTTGCGAAATACAGATTTTTCTAATATTCCTCTTTTATTTTCTATTCTGTTCTATATCTAATTTGTCTGGAAAATCCTTCTTATTTTATCTTGTCTGCAAAATTCAACATAAATTTTGTCTGCAAAATACAGATTTTCCTAATATTCCCCTGTCATTTTATATTTTGTTCTATATCTAACTTGTCTGCAAAATCCTTCTTATTTTAACTTGTCTGCAAAATTCAACATTTATTCTGTCTGCGAAATACAGATTTTTCTAATATTCCTCTTTTCATTTTATATTCTGTTCTATATCTAACTTGTCTGCAAAATCCTTCAACCTCTATTCTGTCTATACTTTAAAATGTATTAACTTAAAAAGTTAATTAATATTGTTTGTTTGTTATAATCATTATATTCTGTTTCATGCAATAACTTAGTGTTTTTTAATTATATTCTTTTTTTTTATAAAACCATAAATTATTCTAAAAAAAAACAACATTATAAATCTATTTTTCAAATAATAAATAGAGTTTTGCAAATAATTATAGATCTTTCTAGATGGCATTAAATCAATATAATTGCCCATTCACACCTTTTGACAAGGGATTAAACACCCCCTATATAATCTATATTGTCTGCAAAATCTAAAATCCTTCTTTATTTAACTTGTCTGCAAAATCCCTCTATGTTTAACTTGTCTGCAAAGTCGTCTGCAAAGTATACCGACCCGCAAATATGTAACTTGTCAAAATTTTGCTTTGAGGCTTTGCCTTTTTCATTTTAATTAATGGAACATCGTGCGGTCCTGTGGGCCAGCCTGCCTAATAATAAATAGTAATGTCTCACAGTCCGCCTTGTCCTGCAGGCCCTAATAACATCCGGTTTAGTAACGGTACGCAACGTCAATTAGTGACCAACAAAGATGGCAGCCTCCACGGCAGCATTTGAAAGCTGGTTAACTGAAAAACTACTCTCCTTGAATCCTGACACAGATACAGATGTTTTTGTGTCGTACATCACTGGTATTCTAGATGAAGATAGCTCTAGCGATGAAAAGAAGGAATCTATTACAGAGTTAATTGGACAAGTAGTGGTAATGATTTTGGGTATAGTTTCGGCCTCAACTTGGCTCAAGACGTTTAGACTTTCGACCACAAACTACCCAGGACGTTTAAATTTGGTCGCTAATATATTGTCCCTTTAACAAATGTGCAACATTTAAAAAAAAACAACATGTATACCAGAAGAAAATTTAATATGTAAAAGGCAAAGCCTCAAAGCGAGCTCGAGTTTATTTTACTGTAAATTAGTTTTAAATAATTGTTCATTTTTATTTTACATTTTCTGTTTAAAAATTGTCATTCGGTATTTTATACACTGCTTCCGTTTATTCTGGTTCCCCCTTTCTATTATGGTTCCCATATAAGTTTGCAGGACACCAGTCTACGCTTCCGTTTTCAATCAGAGTATATCGGCTTTTATCGTTATCTTGTAATTCGAAAAGTTGCGATGTGTCAATTTGGTACTTCAGACGGATGTTTTCAAAACCATCATCTAGCAGGTACTCGCGTTACCGTAAAGCTCTTCGAGCTCGCTACTTAACATGTCTCCTACAATTATAACTTAAACATTTCAGTAAATGAATGAATTCTATCAAATAAATGTTCTAGCCGTATGTGAGTCATGCATGGCTAGCTTATGCATACTGTATACGCTAGTCATACTGCATTTTTTTCAATTATGAAAAATGCAATGATGAAGTCAATAACTTGCACATCTTATTACTTTTTTACAAAGAATGAACAAGCCCATATTTTTTCTAAATTAAAATACTTTAGCCTCTTTTTTGGAAAAATTAACGCTTAAAATTCTGATTTTGGGAAGTAAAAAAGCTGGTGTAAGTCCGTTTTTTTTTTTAAACTGTATTATTTTAAAGACATTTTAATTGGGAAGAGGCCTTTTTTCAAAGTTATAAGTAGAAAAATCACTGCATATCCATTTATTTAATATTGTTTTACAAAATTATATCTTGTTTTGTCTTGCCACCTCTCAATCTGTCCCGTTGTTTGTCTGTCCGTCAGCATTAAGCTTGTCCAGCTTTCACAGGCTAAACCTTTGGTGGGATTTCAACAGAACTTACTTTACAGGAGTGATCAGTACCATCCTTAGTTCAATAGTTGTGCATATCACGGGCACATTTTGCTTCGCTGCACAAAGTGGCCACCATAGCTAAATAAAGAACAAATCTTGTACGCCTTTCACAGGTGAAATTACAGTTGGGATTTCAACCAAACTATACAGGAGTGATCAGTACCATCCCTAGATGTGCGCATCGCCTGCACATTCCGCTTCACTGCACAAAAGACTGTCAGAGCTAAAAAAGAAAAAATATTGTCTGGCCTTCACAGGTCAAACTACTGTTGGAATTTCAACCATACCTGACAGAAGTGATTAGTACCTCTCCGTCTGTCCCGCTGTTTGTCTGTCCGTCAGCATTAAGCTTGTCCAGCTTTCACAGGTTAAACCTTTGGTGGGATTTCAACAGAACTTACTTTACAGGAGTGATCAGTACCATCCTTAGTTCAATAGTTGTGCACTTCGCTGGCACATTCTGCTTCGCTGCACAATATGGACACCAAAGCTAAAAATAGAAAAATCTAAATAAGTTATCCGGCCTCAAACTGCTGGTGGGATTTCAACCAACATTTACAGGAGTGATCAGTACTATCTCTAGTTGTGCACATCCCCAGCATGTTCCTTTTAGCTGCACAAATGGACGCCAGAGCAAAAAAAAAGAAAAATCTTGTCCAGCATTCACAAGTCAAGCTGCTGTAGGGATTTCAACGAAAATTGCACAGAACTGTTCATTACTATCCGTAGTTGTACATATCATGGCACATTCTGACTTGCTGCACAAATTTGCCACCAAAGATATAAATAGAAAAATCTTTTCTGGCTTTCACAGGTCAAGCTGCATGTTGGATTTCAATGATAAGTACCATCCTTAGTTGTGCATATCACCAGCAAAAACTTCACAGGAATGATTAGTACCATCCTTAGTTGTGCATATCACCAGCATGTTTCTTTTTGTTGCAAAAAATGGCTGCCAGAGCTATAAAAAGAAAAATGTTGTCATGTTTTCACAGGTCAAACTGCTGGTGGGAT